TTACTATAATGAAATAGGTGAGGTGGTGAGCTTTACAGACAGGGGTTCATGGGCTGAGAGATTTCAGTCCATGGTCACTTGTTCCTGGTGCTTTGTGCCTGTGGCGGCATAGAATATCATGGAATGAGTTCATGGCAGAGCAGACCTGCTCACCTCAAGATGGCCAGGAAGCAAAGAAAGAGAAAGGGGTCAGGGTCCCACTAAAAGATATACCCCCATAGCCCCACTGAGCAAACTTTATTCCACTAGGCCCCACCTGCTAAAGGTTGTGCCACACCCAGTAGCTGAGGTCCAGTGTTTCAATACATGGGCCTTTGGGGGGGGACCATTCAAGACCCAAACCACAGTATGGTTGTACACACAATGCAATAACCAGTACTGGGATGGAGCTTCTTGGGCTGCATCAGTCTGCCAGTATCCTAAGGTTCTAAGCTTGTGACAGGAAAGCAATGCTTCACTGTAGAAATGATAACAAAATGATGCCGGAAAGCTCCTGGGAGCATCTCAATCTTGTGAACACTGGAAACCTGTAGAAATGATGGAGACATTCCCCACCAAAGCACTCATTCGTTGCTCGTGATTATACACAATCAGGCTGGATCTGATGAACCCTCACTGCCAACATTTAGTCCAGTGATGTCAGCAAGGTAGGTGTGCCCAGGTATGTGTGAGATGTGCACACATATTCACACTGAGAAGGCAAACAGCATGTCTGAGGTCTTGCTCAGTTCCAGCCATCTCATTCATGAGGTCCAGCATACTAACATGAGGGTACCCTGGTGGTACTGGTGGTCTCCACTGAGTGGTTCCAGGTTCTTGTTGTCTTGTTCAAAAAAAAAATTGAAGCACACACAAATAGCGAGTTAGCTAGGGTCTTATTCAGGAGCAAAAGAAATACACAGAATAGATATACTGCTGAGAGAGAGCAGTGGGGGCCAAGCAAGATTGCTCTGGGTTACTTTGTGAAGCTTCCTTTTGTAGGCCCAGGAGGACAGGAGGAAGGAGTTAGCTCTTGGGGATGAGGAGTAGGTGACTTTGTGTCTCCATTGATGGGTTTGGGCTATGTGACCCTGTTCACTCAACATGTTCTTTCTCATGATGCATCTAATATTTTAATCATATGCATGCCCAATCGTGCACAGGCATAGAATGGTAAACGGTTTCCCCTGAAAGCTCACTCGAGGGACACAGGTTGCCTCTTTGCCTGAGCACTGAAGTTCAGCCCAGGCGGAGTTGGCTCGCTGCCTGCACTTCTAGGACATGTTCCAACATATGTGATCACAAAGGGGGAGTCCCCCAGGGGTTGCTAGGATTGACTGACCACTTCATCTGGAGAAGGCTGTCTGTACACAAAGCTCCATGCAGATGGGGGTCCAGGTTGCTAAGCTGCCTGTGAAAACTCCTTGAGTACCTTAGGAGCACTCGGCATTTGGGAACCACCAAGATGGCCACTCCCTTTCCAAACATCCTGACTGCACGGAGTTATCCATGTTCCTTCCAGCACTCTATCAAGATAGGTCTGCACTTTCACCCTCTTCTGTAAAATGATGATGGCTCCTTTTTGGTTCTCTATCTAGGATCAAGTTTTGAATGCCATGAAGTTGCTACATATGTGTGTCCATGATTGCTCTATGACTGAGGGCAGAGATGGGGTAGGTAGTAAAAAACAAAAATATTTTGCATATACAAAGAGGAACATTTCCTTTTTCAAAGAACTTGAAGTGAACCTTGTTTTTAAAACACGAAATCTGAATGGAACTCAATGACCTATTTTTTAAAAAAACTTAACATTGTCTAAGGTTTAGAGATCTGGCTTTTCTAGAAAAAAAATTATAGTTCAGTTGTAGCCATACTTTAATTGGTGGTTAGACCCCTAAATGGAACAAGATTGTTAATGGACACAGTGTATTCATTATCCTAGGATTGTCTAGCTGGAAGCCATTAAAAAGGGTGGAGTGTATTATGCTCCTAATTTAATTTAGTTATGCCTGAATTTTACACATGTTAAGAATTTGGATAAACTCAAAAAACTCTTATTGTGTAATTTTCCATTAAATGCAGGCATCCTGGGAATTGTAATCACTGAGCTCTTCATTCATTACTTTGCTCATTAAATGACTATTTTGCAACCACATCTTTGTTCCAGAAAAACCATGACCTGAACTGTCTGGAACAGTATAAAAGTGTCTTGGTTCAAGAGTCAAGATTGAGTGTGAACTTGGAACACTTGGTTAAGATTTTACAAACTAAAATTGTAGCATATTCTGTCTAAATATTGCTTTGTACAAACAACATGGTAAGTTGTTATTGTTGTTTTTAAATGAGGTCTCACTTTGTAGCTCTGGCTGGTCTGGAACTCCCTATATATATAGATCAGGCTAGTCTGGAACTTACAGAGATCCACTTGCCTCCACCTCTGTGATTAAATGTATATACAACCACACCCAGCTATGTCAACCAACCATTAAATAGCTTTTTTCTTCTTTTTCTTGTTGGTGTTTTCAAGACAGAGTTTCTCTGTGTAATCCTGGCTGGCCTGGAACTTACTCTATAGACCAGACTGGCCTTGAACTCAGAGATCTATCTGCCTGCCTCTGCCTCCTGAGTGCTGGGATTAAAGTCATGTGCCACTATGGCCCTGCTTATTAAGCAGTTGTTAGCCTTGACTTTTGCTCTCTAGCCAAATGTCCTGGAAAAATTTAGTGATATAAAATTACTTTAATTTTTGTTCATGTTGTAGCCTGAAGATCTCAAAGTCAGTCATTAATGTCCTAAAAAAAATATCTAATTTGAGTCATCTAGAGAATGTTGTTAGTGGTCAGATGAACTTTATATTATGCAGATAAAAAGCTTTGTTTTTCTGTAGAAATACTCATTAGAAATGGGGTAGGAAGGGAAATTTTCTTTTTAAATTTTAGCTTAATCCGTGATGGGTATGTCTAGTTTATTGACTCCATAAATTACTCATATTTTTTAGTACAAAGTCATGAACTCACAGCCTTTTATAAACTCAGTTTCTAGTTGACCATTATTATCTCAATGCTCAGATCATCACTCTGATGAGAGAGAGCTAGTTCCTCTTTCGTCTCATTAGTAAAGTCCATCCAAAACCAGTCTCCAGATTTCTCTCTTGAACATCAGAGGCATGATCTTTTTATCTACTTTTCCCTCTGTCCCAAACTATGGGGTCAACTTCCTTCCTGATATTCTTTTACTTAAAAAAAAAGTCCAATATTAAAATCTGGTGCTTAAAGTGAAACAGGGATGTGACGTTGGGTAATAGAGCTGCTTCAGTTCCTGTCATTGGCTCATTCTGTGGGGAGAGAGCTGAAGGTACACACGGCCATGCAATGCTCAAGGACAGCCGATACTGATGGACAGCCTGGCTGAAGATACAGACCATACAGCTTAGGTTTGTGATAGACTAAAGCACATAGGTGTGTACACACTGCAATGTTTGCACAACGATGAAGACAGTGAATGGTGTATCTCTGGGAATACGCTGCTTATAAGAGACTCACGAAAGTCACAGAATCACATTGGTTTTGCCTAGCTAATAGATCATACACTGTGCGATGTTTTACCTTTCTGATGCAATTCTTACCTGATATTGCCTTTCTCCTAAACTGTCATCTCACATAAAGTTGCTCTTGAACTACTGATCTTCATTTCAAATGCTATCTGTGCCTTTCTTTTCTGGTCCACTATTTGCTGACATGCTCAAGGCTCCATCTCTGCTGTATCATAGCAACATCCTCCTCACCAGGCTCCTTCCCTTTGAAACCGTTTTCATCACCAGGCTGCTTTCCTTTTTTGTAGTGGAGGAGGGTGAGTGCCTATCAAATCCAGAGCTTGTATATGTCAGCAAATGTTCCATCACTGAGCTGCATCCCCAGATTCATATTTTCATATTTGCCTCACCCCCCCTTTTCCTTCTTCCCACAGTCTACTCTTCCCTTCCCTTTCTCCCTCTCCCTTCCTTCCTCCTTCTCCCCTATCCTAGGATCAGATCTCTTTGGGTAACCAAGTTGGCCTCTAGTAGCCTAGAGTAGCCTCAGCCTTAATCTGTTATCCTTCTGCTCTGCCTCCTGAGTGCATCACGTCTGATTTCCTCTTTAAAATGTTTTGAGTGGTTCTGTTTAGGAGATTGCTTTGTAATTCCCTGAAGCTCAGCACAGCATTACTGTACCAACCCGCATTCCCACCGAGCCTGGTAGTGGTTTGCAACCCATGAAGAACTGGAACAGAGCCTGTCCATGTCTTTGCTCCTAGCACCATGAAGAAGTCTTCAGAACTGTGAGGTGTGTTTAGCTCACTGTCAATACTCCTCCTCACCTAATCCCTCAGGCAGGCCTCTAAGTCACCCAGTAGTCAAGGATGACCTTGAACTCGTGACCTCCTGAGCTACCTACAAAGTTCTGCACTACCACGTTCCGCTGAGGACGCCGTTTTCTTCTGAGATCCGAGAGAGAGTGTGCTTGTCTACCCCAAGTCCTGCCCTTGGGGAATTCGTATATACAGCATCCCTTACCCAAATTTCCCGGTAAGACCGTGGAGTCTCTGCCTGCCTGTCTTTTTTATCTGTGGGATCCTGACCCCAGTGAATAGGCTGTTCGGACTTGTTTGGATTCGGGGATTTTCTCACCGAAAAGGCTAGCATTCACGTGGACCTTTTCGACTTGGAGAAATGAGTGCTTTGGTTATGGTCTCAGGGACCTGAGACCTTCTGCCAAGCACATCACCTAATAGATTCAATAGTAGGATCGAATGAACGACTGAATCCGAAAAACAGAAGAGCCTCTTCTTTCCTGGCCCTGCAGTCTGAGGGTGCGGATTTAAATCCCACCCACCACCTTCAAACACCGCTAACGGGACGCTGCTCACAGCAGACAGTCAGAAGACAGGAGCCTCGACTCCGCCCCGGCCCCGCCCAGGACCCGCCCCGGGCCCGCCCCGTGACACTCGCTCCGCCTCCGACGCGCTACCTTTACGTCGCAGCCTAGCCTTCGAACTTGCCTCGCCACACTTCCTCTCCCCCGCCTCCCGACCCGGAAGTTATCCTCGCGACGCTGCTTTCCTTCCCACAATCCCTCGCGCCCGTCCTTTCCATCTTGGGCCCGGCAGAGTGAGTATGGTGGCGGGGTCCTGGCTCTGAAATCCAGCGCCATCCTCACCGGGCGCGGGGCGGGCCGGCTTGGGGGATTTGTTCTGCGCTGACCGGAGGCTCGGCGATCCGGGGCGGTGGGGCGTGCGCGGACGCAAGGCGCTGGGGTCGCTGCGGCGCTCAGAGGAGCAGGGGTTCCGGGGTTAGCCGGATTCTGAGCGGGGGCATCAGCCCGGCCTTTTCCCGCTGTCTGCTTAGAGCCTCCCTTGTGCCTGCATTTTTTAGATGGCTCCCGCAAAGAAGGGTGGCGAGAAGAAGAAGGGCCGTTCTGCCATCAACGAGGTGGTAACCCGAGAGTACACCATCAACATTCACAAGCGCATCCATGGCGTGTGAGTACCTGCGGCCGGCGTGGCCCGCGAGCCGCTTCTGGCTGTCACTCGATCCTTACCCTAGGGAGTATGCGGCGTTCGTTTTGTCTTTTCTATCCTGTCGCGTGTCTTTTAAAGGTGTGCAGGGTCTGGAGTGTACGGTTCCGGGTAGAAACTGGAAACGGGAGGTCGTGTTGGAACTTTGACAATTTGGAACGCTTGGTGGTGCTAAACCGAGAGTTTTGATCATCTGGACGGCTCAGAGGAGAAGCTTGTGACGGGGAACCTTGACTAGCTTCTGTGCTACAGGAACTAGGCAGTTGGGAATTGCTGAGCCCCAGTAGGTGTTTCTTCTTCCTATGACTGATGGAGAGTCGTACTAATGCGGGTCCAGTTGTGATACCGGAACTGGAAATGGTGAGGAGAGGCGTGTAGGTTGCCAAAGTTACAGTGCTGCGTATGGTGAACCCAAGGTGCTTGTGAATTTATCGTCGGTTATATTTACATACGTTCCAACCCTGCACTCAGCAGTATTTCTTGGACGTGACTGTTAAGTCTCTAGTGAAAGATTCTGCCGTGTCGAAATTGTGTCGGCGTTTCTGTGTTGTCCCATGTGAGGTCTCTGCTGCGTGTAAATGCTACTTGCTACCAGCCGCATTCTGTCCAATGGTTGGTGCACATCGAGCACTGTCCGGCACGGCTTTGAAGTGGGCAGATAGGTGAGAAAGATAAGAGCCTGCCCTCCCTGTGTCACCAAATGGGGAAAAGTAGGTGAAAAACAGTTTGAGTTGAAGATTGTTTGCTTTTAAGTGCCCCATGTGTTGGGTGATTCTCGAGGAAAGAGGTGTTCTTTAAGAAGCCCTAAAGAGGGTATAGGGTGTGGGTGGGCATGATTTTCGGGCATCTGTGCTGTTGGAAGGACCTATGCGAGGATCTCCAGCCTCCTTTATCCTTTGGTAACATCTTGGTCCCCGTTTTCCAAACCAAACTTGCTCCTGTCGTCTTCTCCTACTTTCTCTATTTCATTGGTAATTCAGCTGACTGCCTGTAAGTAGTGACAGCAGCATCTTGTTTACACTCCCTGACCACAGTACTGGAATTGCTCAATGCTCCATCTCTTTCCTGGTGTGTCATTTTTGGTACTTATGATACCACCTCATGGGTCGCTTGCATGAGCTGGGTCCAATAGACCAGCCCGTTATTCCTAACCACATTTTTCCAGATTTGTGAAGTGGGCTTGTTTGGACACTGCGCGTGGGCTGGTACTGAGTGGAGAAAGTAGTTCCATGTTGTCTGTCTTGGGGTGACCCAGACAGACAGGTGCCGAGCACAACTGGACTTTTGTGGTTGGTTGTGAGTTTTGGAGTTGAGGTCTTCCTGCCCAGCTTCCAGTGTTGTAGTTAACGGGAGCACCAACATGCCCTAGAAAAGTTGGTAGGCTTTGTTGTTTCGTTGGGTCTTAATCTGTATTGTGTAGCTCTGGTTGTCCTGGAACTAGCTATGTGACCAGGCTAGCCCTGAACACAAAAAGAGCCACCTGCCTTTGCCTCCCAGGTGCTAGGATTAAAGGAACACAGCACCACATCCAACTAGTTTTAGGGTTTTGTGCTCATTTGACTGAAAGCGTAAAGTATATATAGATAAATGGTTGCCTTGGTTTCACAGCTTGATCTCCGTACATGGTTTGCTTGTATGTTTGTGTGTGCATCACATGGATGCCGGGAAGCAAACCTGAGTCCTCTGCAAGAGCAAGTGTTCTTAAGCCCTGGGCCATCCCTGGCACTTCAGGGCTGCTGTGAGAGTGTTTGTTGTAGGAGTGGTTTGTGGATGCTAAGTCGGGAAAGCATGGCATCTTGTGCTACGATTGTAGAACACTTCGTATTTTTTCATCCTCTTGTTCAAAGTATTGATGATAGTTGTTTTTAGAGTATGTTTCTGACTAGTTTTGATTGTTTTATGAGAGCATGTCATTTATATATTCTGTGTAATTTGATTTTATATTCTTGTGTTTTGAACCTCAGGGGCTTCAAGAAGCGTGCTCCTAGGGCACTGAAAGAAATCCGGAAATTTGCCATGAAGGAGATGGGGACTCCAGATGTACGGATTGATACCAGGCTCAATAAAGCCGTCTGGGCCAAAGGAATAAGGTACTGATGTTATATTTGTTAACAGTGCACTAGCTATTCCTTCTACATAGTCTCTTGTGACAGATTTGGTAGTTTGATTACCGGATGTGGAGTCTAGATACTGGGACCTCGGCTCTAAGCTAGTGTCCTTTACTGTGAGGGAGAGAGCAGTGTTAGAGCTTGGGGAGATCTGGGAGAGATTGGGACTTTATAAAGAGCTCCATCCAGAGCATGAGACACTCAGAAAAAGCAGTTTTTAAGCCTGGGGAAGAAATCTTGCTGCCCAGAAAGTTGATTTGTGCCATGTCCTATAACGTGGAAGGGTTCTCATAGGCTTATCCAACCTGAATGTAAATTAATGCCGAGTTTGGGAAGTTACCTTTAAAGGGGAGTACATATGAAGATGGAAAGGGGTGCTGCTGCAGAAATTTAATTTTGGGACCTTCTATATAGAAAATTGTCCAACAAGAAACTACAGTGGAAGAGGGATGGTGTCACAGGGGCATGGAGAAGCCTTGTTTGTAGGAGTCTGGGGCCCACGAACACCTAGCTTGTCTTGAGGGTGATGAGGGGGGAGGGGATTGTGCCTTTTGTTTGGATTAATGAGTATTTCTGTTAATGACAACCATTTTCTGCCTAAGAACAATTAGTTGTCCTTGGTGAATCCTGACAAGCATGCATCTTAGGTGACAGCTTGTTGCTCACCCACCTGGGAATTATTTTCATGGCGAGACAAACCCCAACATGCGCCCCACATCCTCACAGGCAACGCTCGTGCTGCCCAAGGTTCTGCTCCCAGCCACTGAACTTCCTTGCACTTAGAAACGCAAAGTACCCCTGCGCCCTCGGGTGACCAGCAGTCATCCTCAGGGTCACGCCCAAGTTTTTCAGAGCATTAAGAAGCAGGAATAGGGGTAAATGCCACTGCTTTCTGAAAGGAAGCATTGACCTTAGCAGCACATTTGTATTTTATTAGGAATGTTCCATACCGTATCCGGGTACGTTTGTCCAGAAAACGTAATGAGGATGAGGACTCGCCAAACAAACTCTACACATTGGTAACTTATGTGCCTGTTACCACATTCAAAAGTAAGTTTCATGCTGTTCTCAACGCTGTTGAAATTATAGCAGGAAATTAGCAGCACCTTTCAACCCTAAATCTGTTCATTGAATGTTGGTGCCTATTTTCAGTGAGATGAGTGGTGGGCAAAATTATCAGACTTTTAAGACTGTCTTAATGTGGGGGAAATAATGGAGTTCATACAACTGTAGTGTTGAGCAGGTGCTCTGAAGGATGGGACGAGTATGGGTGCTGATTGGCTGTCACTTCTGCATTTCAGATCTACAGACAGTCAATGTGGATGAGAACTAACCTGCTGAATCTCAAATAAAGTTGGAGAGTTGCCTTCAGGTTTTGGTTTTTCTTTTTTGTTGTTTGCCCCATTGGGGGAATTTTTGGTAGTGTTTAGTACGGTCTAAGGAGTATTGTTGGCAGTTATTTAATTGCTGCTCTGGGTACTTGGGAAATCGGGATTATGTGACATGTTCTTTTCATAAAAATCAATTGTGGTTTTGATTTTTCAAGACACAAACTCTCTGTAGTCCTTGCTGTCCTGGAACTTGCTCTGTAGACCAGGCTGGCCTCAACATTGCAAGGGCTGGAATTAAAGGCGTCCCACTGCCATGCCTAGCTTGTCTGTTTTTTTAGCAAAGAAGCTACAGTATTAGGTCTCACATTAGTCCCAGGTGTGTATGTTGAGTTTAAGATTAAGGATTGAGGTTATAACTCATACATGATACTGAAATTTTGTGTTGTTAGTCTTCTAGCCATATTTGCCAAATAGTCCAGTTCATTCCCTATATACTCTTAAGACAATATAAGCTTTTTTTTCCTCCTCCCATCCCCAAAAGACAGGGTTTTCTCTAGCAGCCCTGGCTGTCCCGTAACTCGATTTGTAGACCAGGATGGCCTCAAACTCAAATCTGCATGCTTCCTTAGTGCTGTTTTGTTTTTAATTTTAAAGTCAATACAAAAAGAAAGTTTTTTTTTTATTAAAAACCTTGGGGGCCAACATTGAAAGCATGGTTTGCACATGTTTTTGGAAGGACATACAAAGTGAATACAACGAAATATATTAAAATGGTTTCAATTACCAGCATTGAAACAAAATTAGTGCAAAAAAAGCCAAATACAATTGTGCAGACGGTGGTTCTGGGATCTTGGTGAGCTTATTTCTTGACCAATCCCATAACCAGTGGAAAACGAACCTGGGGTTGATGTCTCTTGGTTACCATGACATCTTTTTATCCATCAAAGGGTAAACGCAAAACCAGGATCACAGCAGAAACACTAGTTTCAGCAAAGTTGATAGTCACAGTGTAAAGGGCATTCCACCTCTGTCTGTCCTTTTAAGAATAAATAGAACTGTGTGGGAGTTGCAGCAATTCCCCGGCCATGGATCTGAGGTTCGTTATCCACACTCAGCTTGTAGTTCCCTGTTTTTAGACTGAGATCTGGACAGTGACAACAGTCCAGTCCGTGCTTTGGTGTGGTGGGCTCCAGTGTGTTCCAGCAAACTCCTGGCTACAGGTTACTCAGCTTCAGTTCAGGCTGTGGTGGATGGCTCATTTCCAAAGCTTTGAGACTGTACTGGTTGAGCTTGGCATTTTCAAGTTTGGATTTAATGTTGAGTGGCTTTTCAAAAAAGTTTACCAGTGATTGCTCAGTGAGAAGTGAGGCCAGGATATGTTCGAGAGAGACAGTCCAGTCCCCTTCCCCTGCCTCCGGAAAGGCCCTAGGGTCTTGGGGAGTCTTCCCAGTCTCAACAAAAACCGAGTCCTGTTCAGGAGAAGGAGCTGAAGCCTGCAGCTCCTCACCACATTCCTGGGAACAGCTTCCTGAGCTGCTGCCTCGCTGGCCCACTTCCCCTATCTGCAGTAGCAGAGTGGTTACTGTGGCGATGGCTTGGTACAGCTCGTTCTCCTCCGGGTCTTCATGGAACATGCTGTACAGAGTTTTACAGAACTGGATAAATTCTCTCTGCAGTAAAAAAAACAATAAAACAGCATGAGGATGGAAAGTATAATTTTTACGTTATCAGAAAAACATGTAGCATTTAATTATGTTCAATAGGAGCTCCGTATTTTAAGACTGTCCTGCAACCTGTGATCTTCCTGCCTTACCAGCAGGTGTGTACTGCTAATTCCTGGTCCCACGTGCAGAAAATAAGAAAAGGCTTTAGGTGGTGTTATGTTGCTTATCAGTGAGAAATGATACGTCTCAACAAAATCCAGAGCTACGTTTGCTTCTTAGTGGAAAGGGGGCATGTGGCGCACACTTTTAAATCTAGTGTTCAGGAGATAGGCAGGTGGGGTTCAAAGCAAAATGATGTGGACAGCATCATATATAAGGAACAGAAAGAAAGTTAGCACCCATGTAAAGCTGGGACGACCAAGGACTGCCTACCTAGTTTGAGGTTGAGAGACTTGAAATAAGGTAGAGGAAACCCATTGGCCTTCATGCATACCTATTCAGTCAAACGTGGTCCTAAAGCTTCCCAGTATGTGACATGAAAAAAACATTGATGTCTTAGACAGGAGCATTCCTAACTTAATCCTGCATTTCTTGTGTTAGTAGAAAGATCCTTTCCAAATTAAACCTGCCATCTTGTAGCACCTAAGAACCCTCCCTGTTCTGGGAAGTGGTTAGAGGTATTGGAGACTTGACTGGTGTGTATCATTTTGCAGCCTCCTCTTTAAGAGGTGACTTGATCACACTGGTCTGAGAAGTCATAAGATTTATGGTCTCAAGTTGCTGAGATGGGTTTTTTTTCTTCGCAGAAGTCCTTACCTGGCTCATTTTGGGCAACTCTTTTTCCGTTTTATCCTTTTCTTTGGCTAAATCCTTAATCATCTGTTTCAGTTGTTTCTGATAATCAATTGTGTCACCTTGACAAAGGGAAACAATAGTTTAAAGTCCATGAAAGCAATAAGATTAGGACAGTAAGGGAACAGGGTTCCACTAAGAAAATTTCATATAAAGCCAGAAAGCAAAAGGCTACATTTTTATAACTGATTACATAGGACCTTCCTGTTAAGATCTTAGAAAAAGATTAAAGCAGCAGAAGGCACTCAATGGACAATCAAGCAATGCTGGCCAGGGGCTAAATGGTGAACAGGATGGAGAGGGGATGGGCTGCTAGGAACAAGTGGTGAAATCAGATACTTGCCATTGGGCTTGCCCAATACCAGGGGTCTTGACGTTGACAACAGAGGATTCTTCAGTGGTGACTGACTGTCTCTGTCATTTTCAGTGAGTGCTTAAAAGAGAAGTATTAAAATTGAACGTAGTTTGTTTAACTGACAAAGACTAAGCCATCAGTTCCAATATTGTAAAGAGCCTGTAAAGTCAAATGAAGTAGGTGAATTCTGTTTTATAGATATGAGCTGAATAAGCATGTAAATTCATATGCAGATACTGCTGGTGTTGATCTGAGAAAACAGCAAATCCCTTCTAATACTATGAATAAGCTTATCTTGACAATGAATTACAGTGAGCATATAATCAGTATATTTCGAGGGCGTAAGTGGGAGCTCTTGGTGGGAGGAGGGTGTTGAGACAGCATCTTGACATAGCCCTGGCAGTTCTAGAACTTGAAGAGATCCACCTGTCTCTGCCTTCTTACATAATGTAGGGTATTTTTTAATTTTGTTTTAAAGTAGTGCTGACTTCCAAACAGCAGCATACTGCTGTTTTTGAGTTTTTCGAAGACAGGGTTTCTCTGTGTGGCTCTGTCTTGTGAATTTTATAAACAAAAAAATTTATTTATTATGTGTGCAATATTCTGTCTATGTATGCCTGCAGGCCAGAAGAGGGCACCAGACCTCATTACAGATGGTTGTGAGCCACCATATGGTGGTTGCCTGGAATTGAACTCTGGACCTTTGGAAGAGCGGGCCATGCTCTTAACCGCTGAGCTCCAGCCCTTGTGAAATCTTTTGTAGACCAATTGGCCTCAAACCACCACAGGTTTCTTTGAATTGCACTGAAAGTAAAACATCAGAAGTTCCAAACATTGCTAGTAATAAAATGGTTCAATCAGTTTAAAATTTGGCATTTCTCAAAAATTTAGGTAAATGATGGTTCACACCTTTAATCCCAGCAGAGGAAGGCAGATTTCTTATTACATACATCATGAGGTCTAGACCCAGTATCAGAACAAAAAAGTCTTCAGGTAGGCAGCAGTTAAGCACACAGGCTTGATTCTCAGCACATATTTGTTTTATAAACTGGTCCCAGGAGATCTGGCCTCTAGGCAGCAGGCAAAAATGCCTATACATTTTTTTTTAAGGTTAAACCCAGAATTCCCACTTCTGTATAGTCTACTTGGGAGTATGGAAAATTTTTGTGCAAAACTGATAGCAGCAACACAACCACAGCAGCAGTGGTGGTCATAGCCACAGGAGACACTCCTGGCCAGAAGGACTGACTCTACAACATGGACCAACTAAACACAGTTATCAGCAGAAGCCAGACAGTGCTACACACTATAGCCACTTAAACATGGAAGAGGCAACAGATTTCAGAAGGCTGCAGGAACATGGATGGTCCAAGGCCAGGGTGGGGAGGTTCTTTTTAGGATGATGGACATCCGCAGGGACCATGGCCTTGATTTTATATCTCAGTGTAGTTTGTGGTTTCTACACTATAAGTGGGTAGAGACATTTCTGCAGGAAAGCTTTCACTGTGTTTCACTTGGTTATTTGAAACTTGCCATTCCAGACTTTGTATGATAGATGACTTTTGTCACCTCTGACACCCAGTGTAAGCTAGAGACAGCAGTCCTATCCCTGGGGCAAGTCCAGAGGCCTCTCAAGTAGCTTTGCAGTCTATGGGGTGGGTTTGTCCCGTCTACTGGTGGACTCAGTACTGCACCAAAGCTAGCAACTGGATGTTCTGTCGTGACAAGCCCTGAAGTAAAGACAACATGGTTTTAAACTGTCAGTTTTGCAGTCTGGAATCACCTGGAAAGTGTGTCTTAAGGAATAGAATTAAGCTGGCTAATGGGCAGCCATTTCTGGGGGATTTCTTAATTGGGCTTACAGGTGGGAAGATTCACTGGGAGCACCATTCCCTGAGTGGGAGAGTGAGCTGAGCATTGGCATGCATTAATTCATTACTTCTGTTCTTGTGGCTGTGATGTGACAGCTTTGGGTTTCTGTCACCCCACAATGATGGCCTAATACCTGGAATTGTAAGCCAAATAAATTTTCCCCTTAAGGTACTTTTGTCTGGGTGTTTATCACAGCCTTGTACAAGAAAGATTTGGTCAGCCGGACCCAACCCCACCCTCAGAGCATCTAATTTCAGTCTGGTCTTCAGGGGTCCAGGAAGCAGCTACCCCATCTTA